AGCTTGTTCTCTGTAGAGGATGTTCACTTATCTTCACTCTGAAAATCAGTAGCAGTAGATTTCCTGAAGCCTCTGCCTTATTTAAACAGATATAGACTACAAATAGACTACAGGCAATAACAGTGCTGCTGTACAAGGAATCTGATTAAAGGTTAAAATCACATCACCGCACATGCTTCTCATATAGCATCTGTGGAAACCATGCATATTTGCCCATATTCAGCAAAGCACATACCAGCTTGCTTTATACAGACATCAGGAGATATGAATCAAACTTCTTACCACTCAACTAATGCATTTAATCATAAGATATTTAATTAGGATTCCTGGGGTGTTATCTCCCACTGAGGCCACTCTCCTGCAGTGACTCTCTCTCCCCGAGCGGCCACCCGCATTAGCATTTTTTTCATTAAAAAGCCCCAGCGCGAGCTGCCCGATGCCCTGGCCGATTACAGTAAGCCGCAGTGGTCATGTTCAAACAGCGCCGACGAGCCGGGTAGGCCCGCTGGCTGGCCAGCCCACGTCCCTGGAAGAGATCAGCCAGCCTCAGTGATGTTATTTATGCATGTCTGAACCAATAGTGGGGAGATTTGCATGAGATTCGGGTCAGCATGAACATGCCGGGGTACGATTCAGTTTGGCCTCACGCAATGTGGTGAAAAAGCAAGCAAGGATGCCAACCAGGCATGCAGTGCAAGTCTAGGAGGAATACGTAAACGGAAAGTAGACTTTTGCAATATGCTCAGGGAAACGGACTCGGAGCTGTCAATGATTTATGAGTCAGTGAAAGTTCCCTCATCCCGTCAAGCGTGCCTAAGCTTTCGCAAGAGAGGTAAAGGCAATCCGCAAAGAGGCCGAGACGGATCATAGTCCGCCACACACGCACACGTCACGGATTCGTCACGCTAGACATACATTATTATTAGCCCGTGTGGAATGAGGGCTAGAAAATTCTCTCCAGGCCCCAACACTCCAAGAAATAATCTTCCTCCCGTACTGTATGTTCAACACCCCGTACAGCCTCTGAATATAATCATCTCCCAGACTTGGAATGCTCGCCCTCCAGATTTGCAGCAGCAGCTGTCTTTGAAACTCTCTCAAATGCATTCGGATTCAGAACCTTTGCATAATTGAATTAAGAGGTAAACAAAGTGTTTCAGAGAGGTTTGGAGTGAAATGCTCAGTTCTCGAGAAACTTAGTCAGAATGGTTCACAGTGGTGGAACCAGGCAGTGTTTAACAGCTCTAAACGCTCTACAAGGTTATAAATGTGCTGCTGTTTATGGTCTAAAATGTATTTTTTTAAGACGCATTCATGGTGGAGATGCATGTTTCAGACGCTGTTACGCTGACTAGCTAAATCAGCATAAACCAAAATAAAACCAGCATTTTTCCAGCAAGGAAAGCAAAATGGTCCCCAAAGCGACGTGTGGTGAAGGTGAAGGTGTGACATGACGAACAGCCAATCGAGAGAAGTTCTTTTTTTTCCAAAAGAAGTAAATAATGTTGCATAAATATGAAGAAATCAAAGCATTTATAAAGGTAAAAGACACAATGCTGTTGCCAGTGCGATCATGTTGGATGCTTATTGTACTATTACTTTATTCACAATATTCTTGGTGTCGACGTAGTCTGCTTTAGCTACGTTAGCTGTTTGTTTTTTTGTTTTTTTTTAATTAACATTTTAATGCTTCATAAAGTTTGGCAATGAGGACTGTGGAAGCTTTATCTGCAGTATTTTAAAAAGAGCTGGCAAAACTTTTCTGTTCAATTTTAGCAAATTGTCAATACCTGAAAAAACACATTTTTGCATAAATTGTGTCATGTAATTGGTTCTCAAACCTGTGCCTCTTAGCATCAAAAACAACTTGTTTTGGATAAATTAAAACTTGTGCCAATTTTCTTGCTTTTTTGGGAAATTTCCATTTCTGACAATTTCTGTCTACATAGCTATTACACAAAGCGTTTTTATCGTTCTCATCAGTTTGATGGAAACTGCTGGGCAGCAACATCACAAATTTCAATGCATTTTCATTTTATCGCTTGCAATTTGAGCAGAAAGTTGATGGAAACACAGCTATTTACGCCACAGACATTAGAAAAAAATATAAGGACCGGAGGGCTCCACCTCCATCAGATGGCTGTTTTTTGATTGGTCAGAAGCTCAGCTCTGAAAAGCTCAAGTGCTTCTTATGAAAACAAAATTCAAAATCCTGAATTTACAGTGCAGAAGTGAAAAGTGATCCACTGTGAATCTGAAAATCCAGGATTAGATTGAATTGAGTTTAGTCAGCTCTCCCTCTATATGACAGCTATAAATTTATACAATATATGGACAAAATTATTGGGACACCTACATAGTACACCTACAGGAGCTTTTATGAATCCCATTATAAATCCGTTGGCATTAATATGGAATTGGTCTCCTCTTTGCAGCTATAACAGCTTCCACTCTTCTGGGAAGCTTTCTACATGATTTTTGAAGTGTCTGTGGGAATTTCTGCCCATTCATTCAGAAGAGCAATTGTGAGGTCAGACACGATGATGTTCTAGTTCATGCCAATCCCAGTGATGGGGTTGAGGTCAGGACCAAACTCACCCAATGCCTTTATGGACCTTGTTTTGTGCACTGGGGCTCAGTCATGCTGGAACAGAAAAGGGCCTTCCTCATACCTGAACTCAATAATTAGGAGGTGTGTCCAAATACTTTTGTCTATAAAGTGCATCAGGGCAACTCCAGTGTCTAGCGTAGTTTGGTGATTTACTTGCTCAAACACACCTGATTACACTCATCCATTAACTGCCTGGTTTACTGCGCATGTTTGAGTAGGGGAAGTACCAAACTGTGCTGGACACTGATCCTCCAGGACCAGAGCTGTGCACCCCTGATCTATATGTTCAAAACATACTGTTATGACACCTCATATGAAATGTATATTTAAATATACAATGACATGCAATACAAACAAACTTAGCAAACGTTATTTATTCCTCTTTTTTTTTATAAAACCTTTCTTACAAAACTGTAAGTTGCCTATTATTGTTCTTAGCTCTGTAAAATAAGGTCTTTTAATTACATTGTTGTCTGCACTGGGCAAAAGGGTTGTGATACAATGAGTCCACATATTTGATAAATACACAGATAAGCATGGTCACAGAAACTGTTAACAAAATGAAACCGATACATCACCAAGATAATTTCCTACGTAACATGGTAGGAATGTCAGTTACAGCATAATTTTTGTAATGAATCTCCCAAACCAAAAAAATAAAAAATAAAACAAAATCCAGTGTTAGACAACGTAAACCAAAACCAACTAATGTGTATTACTGGATAATAACAGATCTGTCAAAACTGATCACCACAACATAGGAATGGAAGCTTGTTTTCCATGAAAGGCAAATGGAAAAACAACTCAGACGTGTCTCAAGAAAGGCACATTCGTGTAATTAAGAGAGAAAAAAGAAAATGCCAGGTAAGATTGTGAGAATGTGCAAGCTCAAGAATGACTTTAGAAACCCATGATTTCCTTGAGAAAGCCGCCTACCACAGAAGAACACTTACTTTCATACATACATACATACAGAAGCAGCTCTCTCAAATGCAGGAACTCTGTGCTTTGAATAATACGAAAATCGGATTGTATTTTTTTTTTTGCTCAGTGATTAATTTTCTTTGATTGCGATGACAGAAGCGAGTAGTTCATTTCGTTTTCCGGCAGTAACTTCAGGCAAATCTTGTACGGAGGAAGGAATGGCACCACATGGACATGGAAGGAACAAACTGTATTGTTAACAGATCCCTTGTACAAAAAGAGACTTGGACTCATTTCTGCGGGAAAATAAAAAACCGTCCAGACTGACAACAGCAGCTGTCTTTCAAAAACAACTAACGAAAAGCTTAACAGTCTTCAGATCTGTTCACATCTGATCTGAATGTTCAAGACACGTTTTGGTTTTAGTACATCTGGCCACAATCGCATAAATCTCAAAAATCTCTTTGAAGGGGGTCAAAAAAAAAAACATTTGTGCTTCAATAGAAACAACTGTGTTCAATGATGTCTAGGATGTGGATGATTTACTACGTATACAGTCGCATGCAAAAGTCTGAACACCCCCCGTCACCTTTACACATCCTATGCGGAGAACGAACAAATTTGAGAGCACAATTTTTTTGTCGAATATTTTGGAGGGGAAAAAATACAACAGAAAATGAAATGTGCCAAAACCTTTGCTCAGGCCACATTGTGTGTTTCATCCGCCCCAGTACGTTAAATTAAGGAAAGAAAAAGTAAACATGTTAAAATGTGTTCTCTGTAGAGGAGTTTTAACTTATTCTCACTTAGAAAATCAACAAAATGTAAATGTGTAAAACTTTTGCGCACCATTATATTTTCCTAACAATTTTGGGTTTGATTACAGTAAAGCACCTCTGAACACTTCAACAGCAAAAAATGGCAAACTGAATTTATCGTACTCTGTATAATGAACCATTTATATACTGAGAGATAACCTGTATTATGTATGGCATTGAAGAAATATATCAGATTTAATAAACATAACAGAAAGTGTATTCTCACCGATTCCCTCTCTCTTACCCTTAACATAGATTACAGTATACTTTGGACAGCATTTTTTCGTCTCATCAAAGCAAAGAGTAAAAACAAAACTAGTGTTTAAAACGTCTGATTTTAAATGTGCAACACATCCAGCTGACTGCTATTCTGATATGGCGAAAAATAAAATAAAAATAAAACAAAATACAACAAAAATGTCTATTTTTGTGTGGCAAGAAGTACGGATTAGTTCTTTCTTGAATTTTTAGTTTTACAGGATCAGATGATAGTTACAACATTTAAAACGTTACAGACGTTGTAGTGTTTCACTTACAAAATGGAACCGAGGGACATTCATTCACCAGCAAGTTAGTTTCTATGGTCAACAACAGTGGCAGTCACAGGACGCTCCATGATTTGCTTAAACCTAAAACCGTGATCTGAAAACATTCAGAACATATCCCAATAAAAGACCACTAGAGATGAGAGGAAAAAAAAACAAAAAAACAAAAAAATAACTTTGGGCAAATCTGAGAAACTCTTCCATGTTATTTATATTACCAAAACACAAGCAGCATGACCAAGGGGTTTCTGCATTCGCGCCAAACCCCTTCGGACTCCCAGACGCACTCTACTCTGAACGGTCAGGCACTGTGACAGTGTAGCTCTGTAGGAGAGGCTTGCTTCATCCACCTGTCAAAAAACTAAAACCTGCAGTAGTGTAGAACAAATGTGCACTCATTTTGGTTTGGGCTGATTTTGAATCAGATACATTTCGAATGTTAATGATGCTTGTTTGTTTTCTGACAGTGAGGACTTCATTAAGCACAATGCGCTCTCCTTTCTTTTCCCGTCCCCTTCCCACTCCTGCCTGGCTTGCTTTCCCACCCAAACGGCTGCTCCTGGCTGGCTCGCTTCCTGAGGGTTTCACTGCCCCCGTTTGTCCCCTGTGTAGTCCGAGACTCCGGGGGGCTCTGCCGTTACGTTTGCCCCTTCCAGTTTTGGCGGAAGAGGTGGCTCAGGTTCGTTAGAGTCTCTCAATGTCTCTGTACTTCTTGCGCAGTATAGACACCTGGTCCTTGAACAGAATCGGGTCCAGCCTCATCTGGGAGTGGACCAGAGGCATGGTGCCAAACCAGCTGGCAAATTTGTTCATGCAAGTCTGCCGCTGGGCGAAATGGTCAGGGTCCGCCCAGCGAGAGGCTCTCGTTGTCTACCGGGAAGAGAAAAAGGACGGTCAGTAAAGTTCACCTTGACAAAGCCATTTTTTTTTCCCCAATTACACAAAAATGTGGCGAGAATCAAAACTGAATTTTATGTATTTTTAAATTCATTTTTATTTATTCTTTTAAATAAATATACTTATCATAAAACAAATTGAGCTGACAAAATAAACTTAGTAAAATTATTGCAGTATGGTATGTGCCCTTAACAACAGAATGGTGGGCCATCCAAATGATGACTTCCATTTTTTGTTTTTGTTCTAATATTTGTTGGTTTTTTTTTTGCCTTATTCTGCATATCAAGCAGGATGCTGGGTTTTCAGGTAGAAACAAATCTGTAGTGGAGACATTCTTCAGTGTGGTGCTCTCTTGCTACTTTATAACAACAGAGAGAGATCTGAAATCTCTAGTACCATTGGTAGAACCCGTGAAACAGCTCCACGTGTCTGATATTTGCTCTGCTGTTTATCTGCTGCAGTCTAAACGTATCTGCACTGACCAGTGCAGGACAGTGAGGGGAATAAACAGCAGTTTTAATCATTATATTTCATGTTCATTATCATTCAAGATTCTGTAGATCTAATAAATTATTTTTTTTTCAGCCATTTGTCTCTTTTGGCTGAAACCATTTGTGGCCAAAATGTTCCGGTGGTCCAAGTTTCAGTGCATCCCTGCCTTGGAGGCAATGTTACAAGTATTCAGATAAATATTTTGCTTGGGAACAACATGACGGGATGGACTGGAAGTTGAGACATCTGCGGAAGTCATTACTGAAGACAGATTTGGAAAGAGAACAATAAGCTGATCTTGGCATTACGTTCTGTTCACTTCCTGAGTTTTCCAAATTTAGAACAGTGGAGGAAAGATCAACATTTCTTCGCTTAAGATTAGACAAGAGACCTGAACTGATTTCCTCAAGATTGCAATGTTGTGTGATTGAAATTTAGTGATACAAGAATATGTAGACTTTGAGAGTCTGTAAACCTTTTTTCTGAAAGCATTTTCTGTGACACTTATTGAAAACAATATCAATTTTACATGATTGTGCAGCTAATTATATCTCCACACAATAAGCAGAGCCTGAAATGTGTACCTGTCCCATCATGGTCTCCTTATACTGCTTCTTCTGAGTGACCTTGATGGGAGGCATCTTGGTGACAGCAGACACTAGGAAGTTCATGAGGATATCTTCACAGTTTGATAGCTGGTCAACCATGCTCTTCAAGCTGGCTGGCAGGTAATTTGTATACAAGTAGTTGTAATATCTAGACAGAGGGAAGGGGAAAAAAATTACACTGTTATTACATTATTACATATTACATTATTAATAACTTCAAGCCACCAGGCTTCTTCAGAAGGCCCAGTGCTGTTGTACAATATGTAAATACTGTTTCTTATTCCAAAACTGGAATAATTGAAACAAAACAATGCACATTTTCATTTTGGGGTTCAAACCTGTGGTAGAAAGCAGCTCCAGTCAGCACCATTGAATAGTCGTTGGTCCACTTAGACGTGTAGCCCCACCGTTCCTTGTTAGCGTCCCAAAAATGGCTCCTAGCCGGGTAGCCCACGATCCTCTCAGGAAAACTTTGCCAAACAGTGAAGGCAAAATCCACCTTCGAAAAAATAAAATACAGGCTCTCAACTGATACGATCCTGATGTTGTACGATTCCTATCATAACTTGGGGAATGCAAGATAAAGCACAGCACTCCACCAGCAGCCTGATAAAAGGCTACAGCGTGTTGTCACTCACCTCAGTGGTTGAGAGCACAGTGTCCTCATCCAGACTCAGCACAGCGTCTGTTAATATGCTGCTGTATGGCAAGAAGCGGCTGCTCATCACCTGGACACAACAACAAACCATTATAATACATCTCAAACGTTGCCATTTGCTATACATTGAATGCCTGTGCTGTGTTTTCAAACACTCAAATCCTTCCCAGCATAATGACCGTCATTATACAGAAGACTGCCATTCTGAACATGATACAATATCATAACGACTTATGTTACAAAGGTGTGGGGGTATTGCAGACATTATCATCTACAGTAAATTACTAAGGAGGCTGGATATAGCAAAAATGACACTTCCTCAATGCTTCAAGTGCATTCAGTATATGCAATAACAATAAGCTTAAGTGCAACCATTTTATTTGATGAGAAAATACACTCTCTTTGACAAAAGTTCTAAGATCAATGGCTAAATGACTTTAGAGACACTAAAAAAGGACCATTTGCAGTTTCAAAGTTTTCAAAGTTATATGGTATACCAGTGGCCAATATACCATTCACTGATGAATGGGAAAATTGAATTAGTATCCATCTGATACTGGAATTGCAGATGATAATTATAACCAGAGAAGTCAATTCATGTGCACCTGAGTCGAGTCTCTGGAGTGTGAGTGTAAGTAGAGTCTCAAGCCTTTAGTAGAGAATTTTTTATTTTCCTATGATTTATACAGTGATTTTCTTGCTTTTCTATGATGAAAGGGTTGTTATTTGAAGCTTCATTGGAACAGCATTGCAATAATAACTGCTCAGGACCACAGCAAAACTGGCACACGGTGTCACAGGAAAGGTTGGAAACAAGTCATTACTCAGCTGAAAACTCCAGTGAGCTATAGCCTAACACGTCAGTTAGCATCTTGAGAGTATAATCTTACACGTACACTATACGCTGTATATAGATTATAAACAGGGAGATTCAAAAAGATTAATCCAATTTCAAAAGGGCCATATTTTTTACAACAACAGAGTGATCTCTCTTGAAAGAGCCGTGAGTACAGGGACACCCGACACACTCAATCGAGTATGGGATGAATTTGACTATGACGTTGATGTTGACAGCTGGAGGAGGTTCATATTGCGCACTTGTAAAATTACATAAACTTTATGATCAACTGAACCATTTACAATTTACTGCATTGTTCTGTAATTTACAAGTGAAATCATTTTGAAATCGGATGAATCTTGTTGAATCACCCTGTAGAATTAACTTTTATAAGGCAAAATTAAAGTAAAATTACGGGTATCGGCCAGAACCAGTCGTTAATTATCAGTTACAGCTATCGACTGAGAAATTTTACATTGTTTCAAATTTCTCTGATCTAAAACCTTGAAATGACCATCTGTCTAATATGCCAGGCGTTCTTACCTTACTTTCTCCCTCAATGACAATGATGGGTTGAGATGTGGCAGGCCAGCGGTGCTTCGCAGGAAGAGGCTTGTCACAGTTCCACAGGACAATGATCTAACAAACATGAAGAAAGGATTAGAGGCAGAGCAGCTGAATCAAAACAAGCAGTATCTAATCACTACATGAATAAAAACACTTCGTCTAGACATATTTAATGAAGACCTTTAGGGGATTTGTGGTGTTTGTATGGCGCCTGACAGTGAGTTACGTAACATATGGAGTTCTCAATCTCCAGTCTTTTGGAGCAACACTATTGCCAGGTTTTGCATTACACCTGATTCAAGGCCCATATTAAAGTAACATGTAAGTACTGTTAATGGGTCAATGCGTACTATTCACTATCCATTCCGTACAGAACATATATGGAATCTAAACAGCACAAACAACACGTTTAAAATGAAGTGTTTCTGCAATGTCATCTATAGCATCTATAGAAAAGTGTCAACCGCCAGTTCAGTTACGTCAGCTAACAGAGGCCTTCACTGGCTAGATGGGGGCCATCCCACCCACCCAGAGAGAGCGAGGCCAAATGTGCTTTCTAGCATCACCAGGGATCTAACTAATGATGGGGCCAGCGCTTAGACTTGGGTTGTGTCACTCGGGAGCCAATGCTGAAGGTATAAGGAATGTTTCATCCTTATATATGTCGGGATCAATCCCGACAACTTAATTAAAATTATTATTAAATATTAAAATTATTACAATTATTAAAATTTTCAGTGATTAGCTGGCAATTTGCGTGATAACGAATGCAGTTCGTTCTCTTACCAGCCTTCTATAGTGAGAAACATTTTTCCCTCCACCCACCACCTTCTTTTTGGTTTTACTCCAACCGGTAACACACTTGGAAGGGTAAGGTTATGTGGGTGAACGGGTGGGTAGAGAAACTGTCTGATAGACACCCACTTTTGTACATGTTTGTCACACTATTTTTTAAAACTTTTCAAAGCCTTTCTAGTCTTTCCAATTTTGTTGTATGGCCTTTTAATAAAACCACTTCAATAATCATCAGAAATAATTTCTCAAATATTAATTTCGGCAGTGAAAGCAGTTTATTAATAATTATTATTAATATCAGATACAGGACCTTCCACTGTCCATACCTGGGCACAGAACGGTGATTTGGCCACAGCCACTAGCAGTTTCAGGATGGGTTGAGACTGGGACACCAGGGGTGTTACTGCATGGATGACTGCCGTGAACCTGGCGTACGGTCTGACACCTGTGAGAAAAAGTGATGACGTGATTAGTCTGAAAAAAAAAAAACCCATTAAATATACATACTTCTGTGGTATTTCAACATCAAAGTCTTCACACTTTCATCCCTGAAAGGCACACAGAGTTCAACTACTCTGAATTAACTCTGACCCTTGTAAACGCATAACGTCAGGAACAAAGGCATGGTAATACTTACTGAGAACCCAAACAAAAGAACAAAAGAGACCACAGGGCTCACAGCACAGGTTTAAAGCTTATTTTTAAAAGCAATGAAAAGAATTCAGGTCTAGACTCTGACTCATCTGCCCTTTTTAACATGAAGCCAGAGAAAACAGCTCCCACAGTTCTCGTCACCATAGAATTAGGGGCTTTTCCTTCCAACACGTCAGTGCTGCCTATATAACAACCACTTTATTTAAGAATTGTGCACTACTGGTAATTAGACACTGTACAGACAGGGTGTCCATTACAAGTTAAGTAATTATACAAGCCTAAGATCATGCAGCACCCTTTAAAGACATTTCACCACTGGCAGCCACGTTTAATTGGTACCGTGGGAAAAGCGAATAACAGCAAAAATGGCTAATTTAGAAACATCCAAATAAATATTACTGCATGCAACACCACTGTTTTCCACAAAAACAACAATACTGCTTACATTTAAACCTGCAATTAATAAGTCATGTGGGTAATAATTTACAGGTTGGTTTCCCGGACATGGATTAAGCACTAAATTGCAATGCCAACGGTGAATCACCCCTGGAAATGCTCTTAAGGCTTAATCCATGTCTGGGAAACTGGCCCTTTCAGAGATTACAACCTCTTAGCTAAGGTTTTAGACAGTTTGCTTTTGTTGATTTTGTTGTGCTTAACCAAAATACACAATTGTGTATATAATTGTATTGGTAATCTTTCAACTAAAACAGAAAAAAAATGGAGACCACCCTCAAAAATGCAAACAGAGCTGAAAGCCAGCAGGTACCAGTTAGCATGGTGGTGAATAGCCCACACTAATTTCCATTATTCAGTATCATTTTTGGGCAAAGCCTCCTTTTAAAGTGGCTGTCACAGTAAAAAGCACAGTGTGTAGGCCACTCACCAAGTGAAGTGTAGTAGAAAGGGAAGTGGCCCAAGTAGGAGGAGTACTGCGGTAAGGTGAAGAGACCACCGGGATGGTTGTTCCACATTAGACTGCTGCGTCCCATGTGCTGCAACACCCGGTCATGGATGATCTGAGAGAGGAGACACCAAGATCATTTCGCAAAAATATTCAAAGGGATCGGCTCAAAGAAGGACGCTGGGATGAAAGCTAAATAATTAGGTCTCTGCATCTGTTGGTCAAGTAATCTTTGAAGTATTTTACCACTAATTGCTCAAAAATGTTTTCACATTATACTGACATACAACTTAATTTGAGGAGAGATGCTTGGCACTGAATACAAGAGAGAGGTGAAAGGATGATGCTTCTCTTCAGGAGGTTTGAAAAGAAATCATACAGGGAAACAAAGTCCTATTTATTCGCATATCGAGAAGTGAATACCTGGTTTTATATTGCCACATACTCCAGAATTAAATGTTGTTTTTGCATTCCTCATAACCTGCTGTTATGTGGGACACAAAAAAGATTGCAATAATCAAATGTACGCCCCCTTTTGCTTTAATGACAGCGTACGCTTGAGCTGGCATGCAGACTGTAGACTGAATCTACCTGAGAATCGTCTGAACACAATGGAAGGAGTTAGACTTACAAAAGAAGCCTAACAAAAAATGACTTTTTTGTATAAAAGCCTTAATATGGTTAATGTCACAAATTTGCTTACATTTAAATACTGACTTAAAAACGGTCCATTTCAAATGAATAACATCTCAGATTTGCAATGCAGTCTCAGAAGTCCGGACCCCTATTAATGCATGTGTTAAATATGACACAAAGGATGATTTATTTAAAATGAAAAGCTAAAAGAAATGGGACCTTTATAAGTTTCCATTCCAACATTTTTCCTGTTAGAATGTACAACTAGCAAAACAGATGTATCACAGCATATTTCAATGTGTTTAGTAAAATTATTTATTTCCTTATTGACTGCATTTGTACTGTACTATTGATTATAACAGATAGTAATTGCACAGCTCATCACAAAACTGAAAGCCTGATGACTTGAACAGTTGCTGAATTTCTGATTCAGTGAAACATTTGGGATCTGTGATTATGTAACAAATCTGTGATTATGTAACAAATTTGATAATAGAAACCTTTTACACTCTAACAATATAAATCTTGTGCCCATTTCACACCAGATGCGACGTGGCATGCATGTTAACCCAGAACCACTCTGTAACTCTTGTTATTTCACACAGGATGTGACACACATGCGTCGCTAAGCAAGAGAGGTTGCTGTTTGTGTTGTGTTTTCACACTATATAAACATCTGTATTGTCTGTTTATTACTCATAAACTTAATGTAGATGGCATAAAGAGATCAATAATAACATTTTGACTAGCTGCCTTCACTGCTGCTGGCTTTCTCACCAGGTGATGTAGCTCGATATGAAGAGGAGGAGATGCCTGTGTGTTCACAACATTAACCTATTCAAGGGATTTCAATCAACCTGTCAGAGCTAAATCTAGATTTGATATGTTAATTAGCCTAGATTGTACATCACAGCATAGACACTGCATTTCTTTGTTTTGATACACTATATTGTTTTTGCTATGAAGTGTTCTCTACGTTTTGATGGGCTGTTTCATGAAACTTGTTCCATGATGTTAAACTGCATGCAACTGTTGCTGTAGAGTTTCAAATGATCTGCAGTATGCTTTACAATCAAGTGCAATTTAGTTTCATGTAGGTGTCATGCAACAAACGTTGTGTGAAAGTTTCATGATGTAAAGCCAGCCTTAGGATGTGACAAACAAGACAGAATGGTATTACCAATGTTCTTTTTAAGAAGGTTTATCCAAATTAAGCACTACACCAACATAGTATTAAAACCCTGGCTGCTTTCGCTACCTCTGAGATTTTCTGGTATCCATAGCGATAAGAGGAGCCTTTGAAATCTCCACCCTTATTACTCTGCTGGTAGTTAATTATCAATGTGGTAAACTAGTTCGATCTCTGAAAGAACAATTATACAGACATGCATGTTAACTTGCTCATAAATTTCACTAAAAGTATAAAGTATTTTACTAAAATATGCGCTTTGTATACATGGCAACTGATGGAATTCAGCAACTGTCCAATGGATTTTAGTACAAGTATATTTTCTAAATACGGGTAAATGTGTCAAAGTATCATTCGCAATAACTGGCTGTATGTTACAGACGCAGCAGACATAGATTTGGTTGAGTATTCCTTCAAGAAGCCTTAACGTTATGAGTATCCAGGCTCTGCAGCTGCGTTTCCTCGGACACCTGTTCCAGCTATCTGCTATAGATCCTCACGGCAGGGCCTGGCCTGGGTGTCCCCTTACTCTCAAACACCAATCCGGCAAGCCTCTGGGCGACAACGCTTCCTCTGGAGAAAAAGCATGTGAAACTGGACCCAGCGCCAGGCCTGCGTACGTCTGCTCCTTCAGGAATAGCTCAACGACGTGATTGATTGACCAGACAACACTGACCAAATCCAAAGTATACTATGGCTCTTTACAGTCTCGAGTTCATCCTAATGGAAAAGCGATGGGAGCCTTTGGTCTATAACGCTGCATAGCAGCGGAGATGGGTTTGGAGCCATTACTGGTCGAGGGCCATGAAAATTTAATGAGAGAGTGTCTTAAGCGCAGTGAGGGATGTTCATTGATTGGGGGGGGGGTTGTGACTCTGCGGAGAGGGTTACTGTACCTCCAGTGTAGTGAGCACGATCTTTTCCACAGAGGAGAAGTAGGCCTCCCACAGGAACTGCGTCTGCTGCCGGAGAGACAGGATTTTGTCCTGGTGGATGGAGCGGGTGGTGGAGGGGATCTGGAGCGAGAGAATGTAAAGACCATCCATCAGTTATGCTGTGCTTGATTTAAAGCTGGCTTGAGTTACTCCACTTGATTTGCTCCGAAAATAAAACGTAATTTATTGGAGAAATATTTCGGAGAAATGCGGCGTACTGTGGTCACGTTGCACACATGCATTTCACCTATTCCCAATAATGTACATTATACTTGATATGGCTGCTATTTGAGCCTCCTGCTATTTTATCTCAGCCTGTATACTATCAATTTTTACATTATGTATGAATGTATGGCTAAAATAAAAAATTAAAGGCCAGAATTATAGAGATGTTTATCATAAATATATTGCTTTTAGAATTAACAAGCATGCTGGCCTTGTGTAGCTTTGAAAAAGGAAATATTTACTAAGCACTTCACATTTATGAGAACATTGCTGTTGTGGTGACCGTGGTGGTTCCCCCCTGATGTTATCTGATCTAGGTTACTTCATTAGGTACTGTTTAGCTACCGCACTGAGAGCCTCCCAGTATATTTAACACCTTGTTTTATTTTATTTATATCAGAGTGACATTAGCAAACTTTGGAACAGCATCTATGACACCAGGCAGACCAGGGGGAAATAACGTGTCTGACTAGTTCCATCTCAAACAGGTTTGCTAGGGAAAAGAAAGCAAAAATAAATTCCATTAAAATTCCATTCCGTTACATTAACTGCAATGAAATCTAATGTCACTGCTTTCATCTCTGGGCAAAAATATTTCCTAGACGGAAAAAGAAGCAAAAATAAATTCCATACGTTAAATGAATTGTGATAAAATCTGATTGATGTAATTACTTCCATCGCTGGCCAAACAGGTTTGCTAGAAGGAAAAAGAACATAAAATAAATTCCATAGAGTAAATGAATTCCAAAACAGACACTAATGATTAGTTCCATCTCTGGTAAAACAGGTTTGCTAAAAGGAAGAACACAAAATAAATTCCATACAGTAAATGAATTCCGACGAAATCCAATTCATCAGGTTACTTCCTTCTCTGACCAAACAGGCTCGCTGAACAGGAAAAGAACACCTTTCCTGATAAGTTATTATTTCAAAATACTGTTTGTTATGACATTCACCTATGATAATATAATCACTGCTGTCAGAACAAAACCTTGTATGAATGGACCAAAAGAATCGGCCTAAAATTACTTGTAAAAAACGTCTGGTTCCATTGACTTGCAAGTAGGTTTTTTCCTTCTCCTGTAAAGTTACCATTTTGGAGATACGAGGTTTTGTTCCAACACCTGCGATAATGGTGTCCCAAAGTCTGAACACACTTAAAATCTGGGATTTTTTTTTTTCATTTAAATGTGAAAATAAAGCGCAAAGCTTTTGAATTTTGAAAAATTGAAAACAAAAAAAAAATCCTGACAAGTAAATCAAAGAAGAAACAAACAATTCTGCACTATTTCTAGGTCACCATTCAAATTCAATCGAATGTGTGACACCGACAAGGTCTTCGTACAAAACGGTCAGTTTTTTTTTCCTATTCCTTTCACTGAAGCTTGTGTTCAGATCTGATCTACTCATCAGAGGCTGTTGACTGTTAGTGATCAGAGTCTATGCCAGCTTGGGTGCAGGCTGTCATTAAAGAAAAAAAGGAAGACAAACACTAAGAAATATTGAAATGTGTTCAAATTTCGACGACTCAAAGATAGATCGTTATCCTGATATAGTATAGAAGTATTAAATTAGAAAGAAGTACAGCTTTTTAGAAGCTTTTTACAAATATTCTCAGACGTTCAGACTGCATTTAGTTTTTTATCTGTCTCACCAAAATAACTTCCTAGTAGTTAAACACAAATATGGCTAATACATGTTTCTGATAAGAAGGTTTACACACAGTGCTTTCAATCACCATCTAGGAAACAGCAATGTGTCACTGACTGATGTAAGTAGACACAGAAAACAAAGGATCCATGTGTTTTCTGAGTCGCATCTCTCTTGCTTTGGCCTTTCTATAGTGCAGTAAACAAGTCACTCTGGGTAAACAGATTCATTAAAAGCAGTATGAAGTCACAACAGAAATGCTTTTAAAGGTTTACAGCTGTAAAGCGTCATTCACAAGCCAATTTATAGCCTCTTTGTTTGGCGATTTAATGGTGCTGGGACACAGAGTGCAGTCAGGGGCGTATTAAATGCAGAAACCTGGTACTCCACTTTGACAGAAGCTGTCACTGTTGTAACCCCACAGCGTCCCTTGGCCTTGTGCTGTAAGCGTGAGAACTTGGGTCCCATTTCAATTACACTGCGGCTTTTTTCGTAAACTCTCCCCAGGCCGTTAAGTCAGTGAGTTTGTGGTATAGCAATTAGGAACAGCATCACATGTAGAGCAGATATAATTGTTTTAGCTAATAAGCAGAAAAGCAAATAAAGTGTTTGGCTGAATGCTCGTTTGAAGCTGGTCCAAATCCGTATTAAAGCTCATTTCCTGGACTTATTAAAGCAGGCTAGGGTGAGTGATGAAAGATGAATTAACTGCGGTTTATGTGGAAAGGCGACTCTGGTCTAATAACAAATGAACTTTCAAGGTTGATTCTGTAGCTCCAAAAGCTGTAAAATGCTGACAGACCCTAAAACTGTCCATACTATAGGTGTAAAAATGCTTCAGTACAGTGTAAATGTATCAATCCGGAGGTGGTGATTAAACTGTATTGATTTTGAGATGTAAGAATTGATTTTATACAACAGTAAGAACATGAAGCTAAACTGAGCCAAAAGCTTTCTACCTATGCTGTTATATATGATAATAGCATGTTTATTTTACCATACCTGTATAATTTCGCTGACCATTAGTGGCTAAGCAACAATGGTCACTTTAGTCCAAGCAGCTGGGGCTACTTTTTTGGTGGATGAAATTACGAAAATACTGTATGAAACTGTAAATTTTAAATACTGTTCTTCGCTTTGCCTTTTTTCCCTTAACCTACAACAATGTTTAACACAATAAAACGCTTGAGCTATTCACATTTACACTGTCCCTCTTCAGGATCTATTGCTTACATAAACTACTGTTATAAACTATGGACTAATTTTTGGCCAAAATTTATATAAAGCGAGCTTAGTGTATTGTTGTCCATTTTACACTAAACAGGTCCTCCAGCTAAAAATGCTGCACAATTTTTAAATCAATATTTAACACCTTTTTAAACACTAAAAACATTTCCTCTGCAACACGATACACAAAAATGCAAATATGGCATATTTTCCAGGGTGTTTGTTATTGTATGACTGGCTGCTCTAAATTACACTATCGTCAGCCCTGTCTTAAGCATCATCTCACAATTTAATACCCCTAATTAGGGGAGGACAAAGTGGCACGACACTTCAAAACAAAAAAACGCTTCACAACATTTTATTTTTCTGACGTCAGATAAGTTGGAACAGGCAAATAAATAAATTGAGGCAACCACATTCTATCATAAACTAGACTACAATGGTTTTTATTCAGTGTGGTTTATTCAGTGCACTTAATCCAATAAAACAGGACAAATTAATCTTTCTCTGTAACGACATATGAAGTTGGTTAGTGACCACATCTACGTCAAGCTAAAAAAGCGCCTATTTCGTATCTTTAATAAGATGTAACTTATTATGATACTACAATACGATAACAATATACTGCCGACCTCCTACCTCTAAATAAAATGTATTTAAAGACACTTAATTAACTTACATTTTGTTATCTACTTTAAACTTTCATATTTTTTAAAGCCGACATACAAACAAACAGATAATAAATAAAAATAAATACATGAATTTGAAAAACCCCAAAACATGTACCTGCAGAAGCAGCCTCTCATCCCCAATGACAGCAGCAGTGTTCCAGTCGATGACCTCCGAGAAGGGAAGCTCCCAGCCATTACTGAGCATGACAGGAATACATGCAGCCTGCAAAACACACAGAATGTTACTGTGTACAGCAGCTCAGTATGAACAAAATATAAGTACTGCTATTATGTTGCTACATATTATGATTGCAATCCACCTATGAAATATCATTTCATTGGTGAATCAATATTGTAACCTGCACTCTCAGAAATAAAGGTACTAAACTCAGTACCTTTAGTCAGGGAACATAACTGTACCATAATCCACTGAAATTATGTTTTCTAGGTTGTACTGACTCCACACACCCCGTCTCGTCTCCAGGCTTTTTATCTTATTGTTCTGTTTTAAAACATTAGGTTATGAAAAGATACAAATATGTACTTTTCACCTGGAAAAACGTATTTAGGGTGCACACCTAGACCTTAAAACCACTGTTGTACCTTTTGAGGGAACATCTACATTGTTTGTACCCTGATGAACGAAAAACGTACCTGCACAGAACCTTTATTTCTAACAGTGTGGTCAAAAGATTTTCCTGCATTACTTTGAACAAAATAACTTGTTTGAATATGTGAATGACTCACAAAAACTCATTCCTCATTTGGATGTGTGATTGGTCAGGATGCTCACAGCACACACACACAAAAGAAGCATAGCGACTGATAAGATGGCTCATCTGCATACTGCAGCCTCCTGCAACAACAGGCTACACCACAAAACAAATGATATGTGCAGCTCTATTACAGTCTCTCAACATGCTATGGCAGCATTATCAACCATAAGTACGTGTCTCGTTACCACATAAAAGCAAGTCGGACACTCAAAGTAAAAAAAGACCCAGAGTGCAGCACAAAAAAAAGATCGAACTGTGATCAACTCCAACACTGTACAACTGACATAATTAACAAAGTCAGGGGAGACGACTCGATGCACTGAACCATCTGCTTGAAGTGATGCCTCCCAATCATTACACAGAGAAGCAGTGTACAACAAGTTGTAAAGGGATAATACAAAAGGAATACAGTGACTGGAAACCCTATGGGAGAACAGTGCATTAAATCTGTAGCTGTCGGCTAGAATTTTATGATTGGAATAAACAGTGTGCCCATCCAGCAGTTGAAATCTTCTATAATTGTGCCCGTATGACGGGATCGTAAATAAACAGCGCACAACAAGTCCAAGCACAGTGAACAAGAACAAGGAACATCTGTGTTTGAATCTGATGTATAAACAAAGCACTTGACAACGGATTGGCACGGCGTTACCAAAACCGCACTCTGTGCTACCTGGCTGCTGATGCCCCAAAAGACATTTCTACCTCAGTACTAATGACCGATAATGAAGCCAGAAATTCTACTTCATGTCCACACAGCCATTAGACCCTGAAACAATGCACCATCTGTCTACGTCTACCTCTGCTTAATGCACTGTTTTTGGAACAACCAGCTATGTCCATCTCTGTGTATTTTGGGGGCCATGAGGGTGGGGGGAACAACATGAGGTGCATACGATAAATAAGCCTGCCACATTTTAGGCAGCAATAATGGAAAATGTTCTGTATAAAACAGGGCTGCCCTCATTAACTGATAAAACTCACATTAGCAGGCGATAGAACGAGAGCCGACCAGTTATTTCTTATAGCAGTGGCTGATTTGTAGCAGCAATTTAGCAACAAGTGTTATGGGGAAAAGGAGGGAGACTAGGGATGTACATTGCAACTAATTTTGATATTAGAGTATCTTCAGGAGTTAATGAACAGATATCCGGGTAAATACTTTTTGCAAAAAAAAGTACTTTGGCCAAAATGAAGGTATAATCTCTTTTACGTGATAGCACTGCGGGTAAGAGTCTGCAAACATCAGTCATACAAAAATTAGCAACAAGCAGAGGAAAACATTTGAAAACATGTTTTATTCTTCCAAAAAACAAAAACAAAAAAAACCCCCAAAAAACTGAGGGAAATTGGTAGTTTTTGTGTCGGACGACTAACAAAGGCTGCCTCTTTGGATGAGAGTTAAAACCACAGCTAACTTGCATCACACAGGATGCAATGTTTGTACAGCAAAGTACTGGGAGATTCACTCGAAAGAGGCCCTGAATATTTGGTTGTAACTCCCGTTAGGATGAAGCAATCTGAACCAAAAAAATATGCTACATAACTTGACAAATGTGTAATCGATTGCATTACATGCGATGCTGGAAGTGATCTCAGTTTTCTGCCAGACACATGAAGGGGTACGGGGGTATCCACCCGGAAGTTGCAAATGGAGGTTAAACATCGTGACGGCAGTCCGGCGCCTACCTCATCGCTCCGACGCAGGGGCGTCCCGGCTTGTTCGAAGCTCCATATACTGAGGAGCACATTACACATTGTTTTGTTCAGATTGCTTCGTCCTAGAGAGAGTTATTACAGAATATTCAGGGCCTCTTTCGAGTGAATCTCCCTGTACTTCAGAATCTTTGAAAAGGTCTGCATGGTTTGTGATAGTTCTGTTAAGTCTATGTTTACTGTTTATCATCTCTTAAAAACCCTGATTGCATGTAAAGCTGATAAAGGTACAGTTATGCATATGTTTTGGCAATGTACAAAAATTCAGATATTCTGGAGAGATGTTCATCAAGAGAAAACTAGAAAAAAGCTTTAATACGCCACCAAGTTTTTATGTTTTGAACCACAGTCCTGACAGGGAACTGAGTGACCGTCAGGAATATCGTCTAGGAACCTTAACGTATATGGCAAAAAAAATGCATTTTGTTGCTGTGGAAATCTCCAGATGTCGCATCTCTTAATATGTGGTTGACACAGATCTCGAATCTTCTCCCACTGGAAAAATTTACTTTTGAAATTCATCACAGATACAAAAGGTTTAGCAAAATCTGGTGGTCAGTATGAGAAATATTGGAAGGGATGGGAATTATATTTTTGAGATCTGCATGTTTTCTCCATAATCTGTAATATGTTTTTAATGTCATTTCATTATTGTTAAGCCTCTTTCTGTCACTGGTGCAGCGACTGACAATTTGTTATTGTAAAGATAAATCTTTGAAAATCAATAAACATATAATAAAAAAAAGTAAAAACCCTGATTGCAAAATGATCTAGATGACTAGATCACTAATATAATCAATACTGATAGGCTATCTTCTGCAAGGCCTAAATGGTAGACTGTCCTGGGTGCAACTGAATAAAAAGCATAAGACTCAAAATTTAATAAAGATTGGGCTTTGATTTTGCAAGTGTATGCATGTGTGTGTGTATGCATGTCCATGTCCTGCTGCTAATCTGTTAAGCTGGGTGCAAGCGTGCGATTGGCCCCCCACAACCCCCTGTGCTCCACTATCATCCCGCTCCCCCATTCTAATCCCTTCAGTGTCATTAACCAAGCCTCCAATCTGCTGAAATACATACACACCGATATAACCACGGGGAGGATAAAGCTGCCACGTGCTTGCTAGCATGCTCTCTCTGTCTCTCCCTCTCAAAAGAACTCACTTTAAAAAGGTGTGCATCTAGGAAAGGTAAGTATGATGTAATCTGCTATTGTTAGGGTGTTAAACTAAGTCAATTTGTTTTCTGTATATATCATGTAAATCACCAGTACTTAAAAAACCATATGTATCACAAAAAAAAAAGATTTAGACCAACTGACCATTTGCAAAATAATGACTGATACGCCTCTCAGCCAATCAGAACGGCCTCTAAGTGCTATTTCCTCCACTACGCAAAAGAAAACCTCTGAAAAAACTAACCTGCAGTGAGAACGACGATGGTAGCAAAAGTGAATTCAGACACATGCTATTTTGATAGTTTATTAATGTACTTGTATGCATGACATCACTTGTTTTATTAAAGACTTTCTGTAAAAGACAACACTTTCACTGGTTAATGTAAACACACATTCCAGAATTCTTTTTGCTGCTTTAATCAACAATCACAGATTATTACTTTTTAAATACATGTCTATCTGCACTAAACTTGAACTAAAAGTTTGACGGACATAGCAACAGTAACTAAGAGAGGCGGGGCTTGTCAGAATTTTTTGCCATCAATTATAAAGTGCTTGTAAATAGCTGATGTATAGTAACTGTACAAACTTAACAACAAGAAGCTGATTGGATGTCAACACATTATGCTCTTGTCTTAGTTGACTATATTATCTTTATTTTTATAATATGTTTAATTTTTACTTCTAGACTAAAAAAAACACAAAACAAAAACATTGTATGCAGTTCTTTGTAGCCTTTCATAAATATGGCACGATTATTTTTTGGTGTGTTTTGTCTGGTCCAAGCTTCAGAGAAACTAAATATTGTGATAAATATTGTGCAATGTGGAAATGTATGCGAGTATTGTGATGTTACATTTTTACCATATAGTCCATCCTAATGCGCCTCCACATAAACCACGTAATGGCCTACAAACCCATGCTATTACAAAAGCTGTACATGCTGCTGTAGAAAAAGGCCATTCCTACACCCACACTGCTCAGGGCCTAAGCTTACACCACAGAGTAAAACTCAACATTAACATTACCTATAACTGAACAGAACAACTGAAACCTGAGAGAAGCCAGTTTCACACCCACGCAGCACGGCGCATCGCAGCACCTGCATATAGCTGTGGAAAACTCACATTTAGGAAATGGGCTTTGTGCTTGCGCATCAATCCAGCTTGTGCTGCATCATTACTGCAGCCATACAACAGAGCTAAATGAGCCAACATTTGCAGAATTGCATATTTTTACATATGTTTTGCTTGATTAATGAGTGGGTGAGTGTAAGAATATTACCTATTAAGCTCTGCGTCCTCAGTTACACACTGTCAACATAATGACAGTGTTGGTCTAATTCACTCGCATTACAAGCCAAAATAATCGGCACATTAAATGTCTGGAATAGGTTTGCGACAATTAGCCAACAGCAAAGTCAATGACAATTAAATGTGGATGTGGATTTTTGTTGTGACTTACTAAAATAAACAATGGTCACACTTTACTGAAGGGCAACTTGGCTACATGACACCTACATAAGTCTTTCAAAACAATAACAAATCTACTTATAAAACCCATAGTTCTGGTCCTAAAACCTGATTGGCTGAGCCGTTGAAAAATCCACAATATATGCACACCTATGACTGCCTCAAAGCGAAAGATCTATCACTGTGCCACAGCATGAAAAATCCTTGTGCTGTTAATAGAATGATCTTTGACTCTCATACTGCTTGCAGGAACCGAGTATACTGATTAAGTAAGAACCCATTGTTGTTAAACTGAGAGGTTGGTACATTATTTTCTTAATTAGACCTAGCCTGGCTAGCTAACAGGCTAAAAAAATAGATAACAGCCTAAACAACTCCATCGTTAATACCACAGGCTTGAATTACTGTAAATGTAAAAGTCTAAAAACTGTCACTTGAATAGATTACACGCTTCAAATGTTCATGTTTCAGTCCAAAGTAACGTCAAACCCAGGCTAAATCCCAAACGGCTCCGTATTCCCTAAGTAGTGTGCTAGCAATCAAATTTTAGAAATTCTAGCCTCCACAGCCAAACAGTGCATTATTTATGCGGATGTGTCCCAAATGACAATTTCTTAGCTATATTATTCACTGTTGGAGTTTCAGGATCCAGTATTAAATTCCTACGTAGTGCACTATGTAGGGAGCTGGGAGACATTTGAGATTCAGCCCCAGTGTGAGAAGAGAGGCACCGCTGAATTAATGGTAAATACGACTCTGTGTTAGTGCTATTAGTGCTGTGTTATCATATGCTCATTGTTATACAACAAAAAGTTTAAAAAATTCGTAAAATGACGGTTGGCGACCAAACGTTCTTCTTCTCTTTCAACAGTCTATGGCTGCTTGGCAACAACACCACACTCTAAAGGAACTACATTTCTTGGCTAAACACTTGTTTATGTCAATTATTATTAACAATAACTGAAATTATTTTCTGAAAAAATTGTGTATTTTATCATATTTTATGTTGACCGGCATTTTATAAAAGCAATAAGCCACTTGAGATGGTGTGTTACTGCGACTTTATCACGGGGAATGGAATTTTAGGCACTCTGATTCGAGTCGAAGAACACCCTTCTCATGATTAAATCGCAGTAGGAATATAAACACAAACACAGACTGAATTTGCTCTGCATTTAGCTTTAGCTCAGCTATAGCCGCGTTTCTCGCATCTCTGGCAGGAAACTTTTCCGTAAAAGTGGAATAGTTTCTGTGAAATGTCTCTCAATACTACATTTTTAAACAATGCTTCTCGTTCGCATCATCCCGTTACACCTTAAATGGTGCCTGCTGCCTATAAATGCAAATAAGTCCAGTCGTCTCCAAATTATCGATGTACGTCTTAAAACTTCCTCGTTGCCTTTTCATTAGCTAGTAGCTAGGCGAGATTGTTGTCATTGCTATGGCGACCAGCAGTCTCTGGGCCGATCTACAGGGTTAATGGGTGAATTAGCAGTTATACATTAACTCCAGCGCTTAGGACCATTTACTGTTTAAACTGTGTGAACGATCAGCAGAGCTTTATTTTACTGCAAAGGAGGATTATTTTATTTTTATCTAAAAATCGAACACTGCTGTGGAGCCATCAGTGGGGTGGAACCCTCATAAGTGCGTCTTCAGTGCCTTTAGTCGGGGAACACAATTGTATATAATGGTGTGCAGATATATAATTATATTATAAGAAGAGCTGGGCAATATAACAATATTTACCATTATTGTGATAAATTACATCCCAACGTGTCACAATATGCTTCCCAACTGCATGTCTGATTGCAAAGGGCACCTAATTAGTCCTGTTTTATTGGATTTAGCGCTGTAAATTATGTGAAATATTGAATAGAAAAAATATATACTGTGCCATATCATGTGTCGTGAAAACATACACTCCAAATATTGTGCTTACATTTTTTGCTATATCAGCCATCTTTAACTGTTACATCTTAAATTGCTGTTATAAGTTTCATTTGCTCTATACACTCAGTCTTGGCTCCAGCCGTTTTATTTTCTTTTTCTACTTAAAAAGATAATTAAACAGGTACAAATATGCCATTTTACCCTGGGAAAGTGAATGAAGTGTACCTTTAAGACTCATTTAACCACATGAACCTAAAAACAAACAGCTGCTCATTTAATTCTGCTGCATGAGGACTTACTCTGCGTGTTATATTGTTGGATCATATTCTTTATAAATGAGCAAAACCATTCAGAAACTGCGTTATTAACAAAAAAGAGTAGATTAAAATGGCAGAATTAGCTACTTCTCAGCCTTAAAGGGTTATGACACACGATAAGATCACTGCTGCACCTCTGAGGTTCTCTTTACACTGTTTGTGCCTTGGGGTATTAAAATGTACCCAGACAGTGGTCTTTTTACTGATGACATAATTCCTCCAGTTACATTTGCATATGCAGTATAACTGTAAAATTCTGAAATGTTTCAAAATCAACAAAAAAAAAAAACGCGAAATTTCATATTGTTTCTAAACAATCGCAACTGGATTGTGGTGAGATTTAAACTGCGCTTGGAATGTGAGGTGGACTGTGCTCCCTGGATGGTGTGTGCTTGTAGAAGAATCCTAACACCGAGCTGGGTGTTATCATCAGTCTATGCCATGATGCAGCATGTGCAGGCAAAGGGCAAAGGCCTGGAAGGTGACCAAAACTCTGCAGTAGCCGACACATGCCTGGAGGGACGGGGGGGTTTTGCTAATTAAGACAAAATGAAGCGCTAGCAACCTGATACCAGAGTTCAAAACAGTCAAAACGAGTATCTGTGAGGGGAATGTGAAACTGCATGCATGTAAATGACAGCACTGTTTGTGTGAGAGAGTGAGGACACATATGTACATACATTATATATATAAAATGATTAAAAATTCACCTGCAGGGCCTCTAGGAAGCGGAAGGAGCCCAGGCGGCGTCCTCTAGGCACCAGACAGAAAGTGGAGTTGTGCAGCATTTCTTTGTATTCATACCTAGACAGAGAGAGAAACAGAGAGAGAACACTTGAATAAGCAAGGCAAAAAACAAACAAACAAACAAACAAACAAAAAAACTAATAAAAAACACCTTTATCTGCAATCTCCTGGAGCTGGCACTTGTTCAACAAATCCACTCTTGTAGCCATATCCTGGTACCGATTACTACCAAAGTGCTTTGAAAATCCATCAAGGAACACAGTAAGTGTCTAACTCGTGAGCTCCTTACTGTGGAAGCTAAATTAAAAAGTCTTTGGGGTTCAGCCTAATTGGAGTGCAATATTAAGGAAACTGCTCAAAACACATTATTAAAAAAAAATAAATAAATAAATAAATAAAAAAAAATAAAAAAAATAAATAAAAAAAACACTTTTACTCCTTACTTTGCAATATTTGGCATCAAGTTCCTGGATATGGATTAAGGCCCAGTCTTTGCTGCATCACCACATGAGTCTAGGCTTAGGGTCTAAAAAAGTGGCCCAAATAGTGGCCACAATATTTCAGCTGTCAGTTTCGTAAAACACTTCCATTAGGCCAGAATAACACTTCACACAAGTACACAAACACTTTGATCTACGCAAACGTGGTTTCGCTCATCCCTGCATTGTAAAACTACACAATTTGACAACGTAAGCTGCATTCTGAGTGCTGCAGCAAGGGATGCTACAACGACATCCAAGCCTGGCCAAACTGCCTTATACCAGCAGTGATGTTTCTCCCAGTCAACACTCATGACACACCAGCAGTTCAGTGAGTCTCTCAAAGAAATGGCTCACTCATATTAACATATATATATATATATGATACATTATCGCCTCTTCATTTCAACAGAATGAAAGCAGAAATCGCTCCTCTACAGTCCACAGGTTTTGTTTTTCTGGCTGTTGCAATATAAGTAGATCTTATTATACCTTCCACTGTAACAAGGAACACACTGAGTTTGTACAGCAGGACTGTGCAACTGTACAGTGTTGGCCAGTTGTTGAGTATTTTTCTGGACTTATAAGTTGGCTACATTAGCCTCAATGCTAAAGGGCAAAATTAAAGAAACAAAATCAGGACACGAAACTTGTCTGGTCCATTAACTTCACTAAAACACGACAAAAAAAAACAATCCATGTATAAATCACAGGTGGTTGATTTAACTCACTTTACTGAGTCAACGGTTCTAGCTAGTTCAAGCAAGCTAGTTTTATCGGCTTTGCCTCTCAATTGGCACACAGAGGCACTTCATCACTGTAGCCTCTACTTTCGTCCATTTGATGTAGTGGCCTTTCGAAAACCTTTGATTTACTTTAAGGCTAAAACCTGACGTCCACATTTTGAGGGTTGGATGGTACTACCACAAAATTTACAATGTAAAAGAGGTTTTCCTTTGTTCGTTGGTTTGTATTTGTCCACTTTTCATTCATTTTCATTCACAACTGTACTCAAAAGTCTGGGTGTCCTGGTCAAATTACATACTTTGCTGACTTTCTCAGTGAAAATAACAACCTCCACAGCGAACACACTGATATATGGCATTTTCTGTACAATTTAGTGAACAGTTTCTATTTGATGAGCTTAATATATCTGAAACAAAACCTAAACATCCAATATAAAATGTGGCATAACTCTTGTACAGGATACATTTTATATTTTTGTCCCCTTAATGTGATAAATACAGCAAATAAACAGCAACTGAGTATTAAATTCTTCAGTGTAAAGTGTTCTCTGTTGAGGATGTGTTAACTTCTTTCACTTAGTAAATCAATAAAACGTCATTTGACCAGGGCGACACATAAACGCCACTCTTTCTTCCTTATATATGGTGTTGGGAGTGGGCACACATGCATGAAATACCAGTGCTATATTACTATTAATACCACTTTTATTAGAGAAGTAAAACTGCATTTTTGACAAAGTGAATTATACGTCAGCTGTTTTTTTCCCCCAAACCTCTTTTGTTATAAATAATTTATGAAGAGATTCATTCCAGTTTGCTGTATATCTAAACTGCCAATATAAAGAAAAGATAAATGGGGAACAGCTGTATTTCCGCTGCTTTATTCCCAGAAATCCTTTTATTCAGTTACACTGGGTAAGCACAATGCTCTTGTGTAGCAGCCCTCTCATTGGCAACGAAGAGGCAGCTGTACTTAGGAAAAACGTTCAAGGTGACACAGTTAAATTACCAACAACATGTGGTCATGCTGAGCCAAGTTAGAGTGAACCAAGCTATAAAAGGCATTAAAACACATCTACTGTTGGACACACAACACACGTAAAGAACCCAAAATGCACGAACAAAAGAAAACTGAAGTAAAGAAAGCGAAGATCAGAGACACGTTTGTCTTTTTAAAGACTTTTACACTCACGAGGGAACAGAAAAGCTGGAAAAAGCTCTTTCTTCCAAATCCCTGCGCACACACAGCCATGACCCCGGTGACCCTGCCCCATTCCTTCCCTTCAAGCGAGGGAGGCCGAGTGGGAGGCGGGGGAGACGGGACTCCACTGAGGAGCGAAGTTTCACTCAGCACTTGGATTAAGAGGCTGTTTGGAATTCCTAATTTAACATTCCTTCCCTCTTCCAGTGCTGGGACCTGTCTGCCTTAGGGTTGCTACTAAACCCCCCCTCCGTCAACCAATATCGCTTAAAGGAGCAGCTCAGGCAAATAGGCTAACAGGGCAAAGAATGAATGGCAGCTAGGATTAATTCACATGATATAATCTGCAAAATTTGAACTGGTAGCTATTCACTGTTAGCAAGATTAGCGTTTCTAAACTATACCTTCAAAATTTCTCCCTGTAGCTTTCTTTTCTTTCTCTCTCTCCACTGGCCTTAATCACTGGTGTGCAGTAGCCCATTTAAAATAGACTGGTAGAAATGTCAATAAGTAGAGATTATCAAATATAATTTCAAATTCATCTGGAAATAAAGTCCTGTTTGAAATAAATTTAAGTCAAAAGGGTTTTGCAGTAGCTATTTTAGCAAGATTGAGCATTTTAACCTCTTGCTATTTGAATATTCACATTTTTGAACAAACATTCTGAATAAAATTAACATACCTATACCTTAAACATGAAATACTTCTGTTTTCAGGTATGTGTACCAGTTGGTTTACAATCGTCACATAACTTTGTGTTGTCATCTTTTCTTGTCTGAACATCTTTTCATACTTACATCTGTAGCTTTCTTTAGTTGTTGCTATTTCTTTGACTATAAGATGCCACATAATTTGCTTGTGTCCCTATATTTTCATCATCATATCATAAACTGAGTCAAAAACATACACAAAACCTTAGTTAACATATGAATATTCTTATCCTTTTTTAGTCCAGACATTCCAGTCTTGCTTAATTTGCAATTTACATGAAGTAAAAATAAAATGTCAAACCTATATTTGAATAAAGTGCTCCATCCTAACTTTTCAGACCATGTTTCCATATATACATATTTCCATGACGTGACAGTCCATTAAAAAAAAAAGCCACATAATTCTGCCTATATTGTCCATCCATAGTCTCAATGCATTGTGTTCTTTCTCTTGCTTTCTTTTCCCTCCATCTATCTTCCTCTAACTCCATGATGAGAAAGAAAGGAAGGTGAACGTTCCTCCCAGGGCCTTCCTCCTCAATCCTTCCTCCTCTTCCTCAGAGGGGATGAGGGACGGATGAAGGAGCCGGAGGGTTTTGCCCAAAGCACAGTAGACGTTGGAGCTTCCTACACTGAAAAGCTTTCCCTGTCTTACTGCTTCAGGCTAGCTGCTGTCACACACACACACACACACACACACACACACACACACACACGATGGAACTCAAGGACATGGGGGTCACATATATGTGTCCTATACATACTATATATATACACCATCATTGTTGTAGAAAAAGCTCAGAGTTCCCATTTCTCTTATCAGCATTCGAAAACTTTTACAATATGTGACACAATGTTCACACAAAGCTGGGGGTGTGAACCTATCAGTTTTTTGTATATTTATGAGATTTATTTCATAACAGAAATGGCAAAAGACAAATATGTTTTGATGATATTCTAACAGAAAATAAGTTAACATCTTTCATAGTACACAAACCTAAATATGGTTTTTGTCTGCAATGCTATGTATTTTGTACGGGCCATGCCTTATGCTTTGTTTTTGTCTCTTCCAAAATGTAAAATTCAGCAAATAAACAGTAACCATGCATTACAATGTGCACAGACAGGGCCAGACAATACGGCAAAAATCCAATACGGAACGATAAAGACATTTTCACTACACGATATGTATCACAATATTTAGTTTGTCTGTGACTTCATACGTTGGAACAGTCAGAATGTACGAGCAGTAATAGGAGTTTAAAAACACTACCAAATACTACAACTACAATGATTTCTATTTAATGTTTCAAATACTGTGCTGCATCAAATGCAATTAAACAGGACTAAGTGTGCTTTTTAATGAAACAGTTTGTCACTGTTCTTTAAGTACTGACAAATATCTACAATATGCCTTAAAAAAAAGCGTATCGCTGCTGTCGGGACAAAACCTTGCATCTCCAAAACAGTAACTTTACATGAGAAGTAAAAAAACAGAGAAATATTTATTTCCCAGTAATTTTGGACCATTTCTGTTGGTTCGTTCATATGAAATTCTGACAAAAGATTCATCACAATACAAGATATTGCATTTTTGCATGACTGTATAACTACCTATTTGTAATGAGAAGTTTCCAACTCTAAACAAAAAATCTGAAGCCAAAAAAATAAAAACTTAAAATTAAATTAAATAAATAAAACACTATTCATGTTAAGACCATTTTACTGGTCTGTAGCTTAGCCCTGTTTGAACCTGGGTTCACTGCAGTTAGATCAGTTTTGGCCTGAAAATGTATGAAACACACACAAACACACACACACTCTCCTCTTCAGCTGCACTGAAAGTGAATGAAGGGCCCTTCCTTTCTGCTTATGTCTGGTGGTGGAACCGCAGGTCAAGTTCCACTGTTCTATAACGTCT